TGGGGCAACAAAAAAGTGGAGGGTCCTAATTATTAATTATTTTCGGGAAAAAAAATCTGTCAAGTCTTTCAAAAATTTAATGTCAGCAAATAAAATTATTTCAACAAAAAATGAAATAATTTGTTCAAGTTAGATATAATATATTAAAAACTAAATTACGGCGTTAACGAATAGAACTTTGTGAGCTTTTTACGACGAGAAGTCGTTAATGACTTCACTTAAATCTAGCTCCTCGAGCTGCAGGATGACCTGCAGGGTCAACCGTTTTTCGGATTTTTTTACTTATTGTTCTCCAAATTATGGATACAAATTACAAATTAAATAATAAAAAAACTTGTAATAAGGGCTTTCTGATATATCGATAACAATATTGGCTGTTCACGTTAAGAAGAGAATGACGTAATTTTTGGTAATTTTGTATACCCAACATAACAACGTTAAAATTCCCACTGAAATGCGTTCAGCAGCAATGAAACTAGTAACATTTCATTTTGTAAGTTGCTCAACTGATAGTAAAATTTCAGACGTTGCCGAATCGAAAAAAACTCGAAAACTATCAGTCTTTCTTTTCTTTTCAGAACTAATCATTTCTCTTGATAAGACCTATGTATATTCAATATGCCTAAAGCTTTGTCGAAATAGTCCCAACAAATACTAAAAGTAAGTAAGGATAATAGCAATAAAACATATCAACAGTACAAAAAAAATTTAAAGTTCGAAATAGTGCACATGTTGGCAACGCCGTAACTTGTCATCTTGTGACGTCATTTTCTTCTTGACGTGAACAACCATCATTATGTTCGTGCAAGTAATCTTAGTTAAAATGCAAAAAAAATGTTCGGGAGGAAAAAAGTAAAAGTGACTGACTAGTCAAAATTTTGATATTTTTTTATATTCATTGTAGAAGCCCCGGGGCAATAGCTCCGCCTACCCATCCTTAAATCCGACCCCCATCAGTATTTTCAATTTCTAAACGTTGTAGCCAAACATCAATAGGTATTAAGAGCAAGTTCAGAAATCAGCGACATCCATAATAGTTTGAGCATTGCAGCAGGATCTGTTGTACATTTAGCAGAAAAAATAAGTTAAAAAAAAAGAACGATATGCATTGTACATTGTACTTTGACAAATAATTCAATCCATATCATCTACTTCAATATTTAGAAAATAAATGTATAGTAAGTGTTGGAACTATCCGAATCAACCGCTCTCAAAAACATTCGCCAAAAAGCGACAATGGAATGAGAAAAGAAGGAACCTATGTGACTGTATTTCAAGCAGAAGTTTACAGTATTGAATTTTGTGCAAAGAGATTGGAAGAATCCGAACTCATTTACAAGTCAATAAACATATTCTCGGACAGTCAAGCGGCGTTGGAAGCTCTTGGCTCCTAACGAGCAACGTCTAAATTGGTAGCAAATAGTCAAAAACGACTCTCCTCGATAGAAAGACTGGTCCGGATTCCTGGCTATACGGGCCTGGAAGGCAATGAGGCTGCTGACTTACTTCCTTGCAAAGGAGGGTGCTGCAAGCAGCTTCATCAGACCAGAACCTGGTATTGGCATCGCTGAAGATTTTGCCAAACAAAGACTGAACACCTGGATGGCAAGAAGATTTATAGACTTCTTGCAGAATCTTCCAGGATTTGCTCACTCCAAGACGTTTATTCACCCTTTGAAGCTTGATACCAAACAACAGTTGTTGGACTACAGTTGGGATGAACTACGATGTCTTACACGCCTTCTTTCAGGTCACTGTCATTTGAACCATCATATGCAGAGACTCGAACTGTCGGAAGACAGTGTGTGCCACTTCCACTGGGGACCGAATCAGGTTTTTAGAGTTCGGCAGAGCCGTACTCTTACCATCTGACCTGAAAGACCACTCAACATACAAACTAATCGGCTTCGTTATTTTGTTAAGTGTGAATGGGTGTGAGCCACAATAAACACTTGCGGGTTGCGGTGGACAGTTGAATAGACCCACTCACTTTGGACCTGACCTAACCTAACCTTACCTAACCTAACCTAACCTGGTTAGATTAAGTTAGATGGTATAATTATAACTAAATGGTTCGATAACAAGCCTGTTATGGTTGCTTCAAATTCTGTTCGAATTGGAAAACTGGATACCTACAAGAGGAGAGATAAATTCCAAACTGTATATAAATATACAACGCCTAGAGTCCATTGCTTTGTATCAATAAATCAGACTTTATTTTATTATACCGCTCTGGCAGAAAGAGTAGAAATTGGCAGTTCGTATGATTTTCCACGCTGTTGATGTTGCTTTTGTCAGTTCTTAGATAGAGTATAGTCACGCTGCCAAGGATTTGGGCATTCCACAAAAAAGGAGATAACGAATCTTCTCGAATTTCGGCAAATGTCGCCGGATCTCTGATATACCTTTAAAAAAGAGGTCGATCAAGGAACAAAAACGAATCATCACGTTCATCAACAACTAACAAAGTGGAAAAACCGTGTGTAGATAAACGGTATGATGGAGTCGAACACTTGTCTGAACACCACTTGAAGGAACAATTCGTAATGCAAAATGGAATGTCGTAAAAGAAAAAGCAATGTTCATTAGGTAAAATGTTATATTCATTTATGCTTTGTATATAAAAGAAAATGTCGTTACGTACCGAAGTCCCCGTTGAGGGATAAGTCATGATTTCGAAATCCTCAAAATTTCAGCAATATTAACCATAAAAAAATTGTGAAAAATATTTTTTTCACTACTAAACTGAGAAATTACTATTATTTACTCCATTCCCCTAACGAGAATTAATATTTCTCACCCTTGGTAAATAATGATAATAAAAAAACACCTAGGTAAATAATGAGAACAATTATATAATTTTTAAGATATTCACAGAAACTTTTGTTAAGTAGGAAATTGAACATACGCTTGAAAATTATTTGAAATTATAATTAATTGTACAATTATGACAAATCATCTCTAAATCATCGTCACTTGAATTTTCACCCATTTTTCAATTAATTATATTGACGTTTTACTTATATAGATCTTTCAAATTCTTCAAAATGACATCTAAATTTGAATTAAAACCGCCTATGGCAAACTGACATCAATAATAATCATTGTAGAGTGTTTGGTTGCCATGGAAACGCCGGCAAACGTTTTTATGGCCCAAGTAGATGTTGCGCGCTTATCGACATCGCGTATTCAACATGGAAACTGTACCTTTTCAATTTGACATGCAACAATTCATAGCTGCCTTAGGTTATCATATAACCAAGGAATTTTTTTACTCACTATAATGCAGAATTGAGTAATTCTAAGTTCTGAACATACAGAAGCGATGAGAGAAGTGGAACATTGAAATATATCAAATATGCAATGAGATATTTCCTAGATTCATATCAAAATTTGACACATGCCAAATTCATAAATAAAGCCAGTCTGATTAGAAACACGCTCCACTCTACTTGATATTCCGATATATTCAACAAATTGTTAGAAAATTACTAATGCCAAAATTAAAATTGTTTATATCAATGTTAGTAGTGAAAAAAATTCTATATATACCTCGGCTGAGAAAGCTATTATTTACCTCGCACATGCTCGGTAAATAATAGCTCGCACATGCTCGGTAAATAATAGCTCACTTCTCACCCTAGGTATATAATATACTATTATTCAGTTTTGCCAAAAATGACAATTTTCTTGAAACGACATCTAGTAGCATGACCGAAATGTATACTGTTGATTTAGAACGATAGAACAGAACGGTTGCCATGTATTATTCCAGGATTTTTTTTAAATAAATATTCAAAAACTAAAATATATAGAACACAACTACCAATTTGTTGACGGGTACAGGCAAATGATTCCGAGAATGCTCTGGAAACTGTGAAAATGTTCTGAACAAAATCTTCTTTAGTATATGGATGCAGTTGATCACCACTTCGACCATTCAATCAACTAAGGGTTAGTAAATTCCTAAAGGGTTAGTGAATATTTATCGGATAT